CAGCTCGGGAGCGTTTTGGCAAGTGGGTGTGGGGTGGGTGGTTGGGGGCGGTGGGGCCGTCGAGGGGCTCGCCGAGCAAGCAGGAGGAGTTGCAGGGTCGTGGGTCATGGGTCGAGGCAGCATTGCGTTTGCAGCTTGGTCTCTGGCGCGGCCCCCTGCTATAGTATGATGTCGCAAAGCGTCCCGTATCTTTTGAGTAAACGGCTGCACGTGTAATAGGAGGCACCACGACTCATTGGCTGGGTGTCTCTGCCCACGCGAGCAGACGGGCGTGGCTGGTTTGAGCCAGGGTCGCAGGGTTGGCGAGGCGCCAGCATGCCTTCACAGGCACTGGCAGCTCGCGTTGGGGACCAGCTGGTATGAAGGCTGGCTTCTGCCCTTTGTGCATGTGCTTCTGGGTGCTGATGAAAGTCGCAATACAGGAGTATGCAGCTACTCACAGTTTGCATCAGCAGTTTCAAGTTCCTGGCAGCTTCTCGATGGCGGTTGGCGTCATGCTCTCATATTATGTGCGAGTCGCAGGACCTCCTGCTTGGAGAAGAGTATTCTGGGGACACTAGACGCGATATATGCTGACAAAGTCGTTCAGCACTTAATTTGTGCGAGAGGAGGACACTTCTCCACGCAGCACGGAGCGGATAGTACGGTCAAGATGGCAACCCGCGGGCTGTGCGTGCTGCTGATCGCAGCTTTGGCTGTGCAGACGGTTTCAGGTGGGCCCAAGTTGATGTAATACAGGTCCTCGGCGCGTAGCTTGCACAAGCCGGCAACAGTTCGCTTATCGGGCTGAGTGATGCCCTCGTCAGCGGACCGGCAAGAAGCGTGAAGAAGGACTCTACTCATCGCTTTTGATCACCTCAATCGTTGCTTGCGGCTTGAGTGAGCTGTGCTCTGGGTGCCAACCTGAAAGCGCGCGCTCTGTTGCGCAATGTTCCATGCTTGGGCAGGACGTGGCCCCAAGATCGACAGGGATGTTATCCGCAAGGGCTTCAAGGTGAGTGATTGCAGCCAATGGGTTGCATCACCTGCTGCCCCAGGGCGCTCAGGGTTCCACTGGCAGGCGCATACTTGCCGCCAAGGTCACGGTCTGCATGCGGCCCCCGCCATGCTGAGCACCCTGAAGCTGTGAAGCTCATACCAGGCCGTGATTATCAAACCGTACCTATCACTACCAATCCTGGACACCGTTCGTAGCCCTATGCCGATGACACGGCCATTGTGTGCCGCGGCAACCACCCGTATGCCAATGTGAAGGGCGCCTTCATCGACGCCATTTGGTGCGAGCCTGGGAGGCGACTGGCGGCCGTGTGGGCGAGGTTCTAGACTTATGATAGCGAACAGCGCAGCTGCGGCACGCCCTGCGGCGCCCCAGGGCGCTTGCTCAAGTGCAAGCCCCCCATTCATCACCCGTCGCGCTCCGCGATGCCCCCGTGTGTGATAAAAATGCAGGGTTGGCGGGCTGTGGTTCCCACTGGAGGGAGTGAAGGACGTAAAGAAGCTCAGCCGCAGCGCCCGCTCCTGCTTCAAAATCAAGGGTTACCTCGGCCGCGGAGGGGCCGCGACCGCCCCCCGCACCCCCGGCCTGGGCCCGCCCGTGGTCGCAGTGGCGCCTGGCGCCGGCCGCTGACGCGGGCGGGTGCGGCGCAGCATGCTGGGGGGTGGACGATGCGATGCTGTTCCCTGCAGGCGGGCAGAGCTGGAGGGCGACCTCTAGGTTGCTGTGAAACTCCTCATTGTTTGTTTCTGAGGTTGTCAATGTCAGGAAGTAGGCGGGTGAGTGTGGGTGCCCAGGCTGAGACCTGCCCACCATTGAAATGCGTTGCTGTCCCTCTTGCTGCCCTTGCGTGGCATTGCGGTGGACATGTCGGAGGTTGACACTGTGGTGCTTCTCGTTGCCACGCCACCCTTCATGTTGTTCATTGTTCAGCTTCCCCTGGGTGGATGCCTCAAAGTCAAATTCCAAGAGCCTGGATGGCTCCACGTACGGGCAACCGCGGGACGCTGTAACAATTTCAATCCAACTCATAATCCCCTTATGCTTTGGCAGGGCTTGCACGCCTGGCGTGGGGTTGCATGCATGGTCCATACTTGGAGAGCCTGTGCTGTGTGTAGGGTAGAACAGGGCGGTTCATGTCACATAAGTATGTGTCATTTCATCCTGGTATTGTAATCTCAAGAGCTTCAAGAGGTTACGGCAGGCTCGGGCGCAAAAGTTCTGCTCAAGCCTTGCGCTGTTGAGCCGCTTTTGTCACGCCCTGTGCCTCCAACACGGTGTTTGGCAGCGCGCAGAGCTGGTTCCCGCTCTTGAGGGTCGACAGCTGTCCTCGAGCACTGTGGCCACGAGGCAGTGGCCGATAAGTTTGATTTCGTAGGCCTGCGCGTGGCATCAGCAGCGGCCGCAGCGGCGTTGTTGCGGCTGCTGTGCCTAATCTGGCTGCAAAACAAGTTAAACACTTTGTTTTTGGTGATGCACATAACCAAACCTATACTGTACAACACGCGCACGCGGCAATCGCATCTCGCCGCCGCCGCTCACTGGCGAGCGTGTGCGCATCGATGCATGGCCTCCGGCTGCCGTCTGCACCCACTGCTCGCACGTTCTCGCCCCCCCCCCCCGTTTTTCCAAGGATGTTGAGGCGTCCTTGCATCGCAGCAAGGAGTACGCGAGGGCGGGTGAGAATGCGCTCGAGGGTCGAAGGGCCGCAACTGTCGGTCGCGGCCAGTGGCAGCTCGCTGTGCAGGCTTTGCGGGCGCTGCGGCGGGCGCAAGAAGTCTGCCCCGTGGCACTGCATCACGAAATCGATGATAATCATGAGTAGGTGTTTGACGTACGCCCGGTCTTCGGTTTCTGGTCGCAGTTGAGAGCTGCTCCTAGTTCGGTATCGTGCGGACAAGGCTGACAGAGGACCGTTTGCAGTCCATCTTCTAATCTCACACTATCAATCTCCTCTCTTGCAACCGATAGATAAAACAGCATCGCCAGACAAGAATGCATTGGAGTGCTTCGGTATGTCGAGTGCCGCACCAGCTTTGTCGGGACCAGGGAGCTGTGCTAATCCTCTGGTCAGCTGGCGCAACCAACCATGCCAGGCGGGCGTGACGGCATACAATGATCCCCCGTGTCAAAGCCCATTTGACATGTATATATGTGAATTGTTTGTCTCGTCATCCAGACGCCGCAACCATCAAAGTTGGCGATCCAAACAAGCTCGTCAACCCTGGTGCCCACTTGAGCGGTCAAGGACAACGCATGACGATGGGCACAGGCTAGCGCGGGCGGCGCACTTGCACACGAGGCACCAATTTCTCAGCTCTACTAAGTGATTACAGTCAACACAGAGCCCATACGCACGCTTCTGGCCAGCACTGTTGCGACACTGTGCTTCGAGGCACTCGGTGGAGGACTTGACACCAGAGAAACACCTTCTGATCAGTAGCGCTCGATTGCATACATTTCATTGCAAGTCCTTGTCGCGCTCGCGCTTCACCTGCTTGCTTTGCCACACCTGGGAGACCCCGCGGCTCGCTGCGTCCTGCTGGGTGGCCCGCGTGGGACGCAAGCATGGCGGAAGAGGTTGTGGAGCTGTGCATCAAGAATCCAGGGAAGCATGGCGACTTTCGAAATGAACGCTCAGGCGGGGACCACGCTTGCGGAGGTGCAACAGCTCATCCAGCGCGACTATGATGGCAACCCGGAGCCGAAGACACAAACGGTGTGCTCATACACCTTTTATGAGGTTCAGGGGGTGCGCCGTGCGCCGGGGCGCTGGTGACCCGCCTGTCGCAGGGGGCACCGCCACTGCTCGGCAGCGCCTCTCGCAGTCATGTGCATCGTGACCCACAACTAGCGCCGCCCCCGTTGCCCCGCAGCTCATATATGGCGGCAAGGTGCTTAAGGACACCAGCCTGAAGCTGTCTGACATCCTGCCGCAGGTGCGGGGTCGCCGCAGACTGCGGCGATGCGCCGCGTTACGTCTCGCCCAGGAGCGCTGCAGAGCACATGGGCCACTGCAG